GGCTTCTCTTTTGTTCTTATTTAGCCACAAGGTATACATAGGGACTCTGGGGCAAGGGATGCTCTGTATTCTTGGTGCTTGGAGGGGGCAACAGTGGGAGGGGTCCTAGTGTCCTGGCCCCACTGCTGGACCTCCTGAGGGCACCTGGTGTTTTTGGCCCCTGTGTGACACAGAGTGTTGGACTGGATGGGCCATTGGCCTGATCCAACATTGGCTTCTTTTATGTTCTTATTTGGAGCAGAGGTCCATCAGTGGCTATTAGCCACAAGGAATAGATAGGAACTCTCAGTCTGGGGCAAGGGATGCTCTGTAGTCTTGGTGCTTGGGGGGGGGCAGCAGTGGGAGGGCTTCTGGTGTCCTGGCCCCACTGCTGGACCTCCTGATGGCCCCTGGTATTTCTGGCCACTGTGTGACACAGAGTGTTGGACTGGATGGGCCATTGGCCTGATCCAACATGGGCTTCTCTTATGTTCTTATGTCTCCAGGCAACAGAGGTCAGTTCTCCTGGAGGAAATTGATGTTTTGGAGGGTGGATTTGACGGCATTGTACCCCAGGCACTGGAGTCCCTAACCTCCCCAGGTTTCATCCCCAAATTTCCAGGAGTTTCTCAAACTAGATTTTCAGCCCTACCCCCCATCCCCACCCCACCCCATCTTGCACTGCTGGCCCGGGGAGGGCCTGGTCAACCCCAAAGCTTTGGACCACGAGGTCTTGTGCCTGGATAGAACTCACAAGAACAGGCAGGAATCGTTGTGGCCTAAAGGAGACGGTTTCTCCGTGTTCCTTCCTTGGGAAGGGTTCCTTGGTTGGTTATAGAGCCGAACGCATGGCCAATGTTACCGCTCTTATCTGGGATTCGCAGCTCTCCGGGACTTCGCAGCCTCTCGGCCTTGGGCCTCAAAAGCCGAGGAAAGGAGTCCGCCAGACCAGGAACAAATTGCTGAACCGGGAGTGCTTCTCCACAGGTTGAAAAGCTTCCTCTGTTGCATGTCCTTGGCAGCTCTGAAAGAAGAAGTAGAGATTGCATTTATACCCCCACCTTTCACTACCTGAAGGAGTCTCAGAGCGGCTGACAAACTCCTTTCCCTTCCCCTCCCCACAACAGAGAGCTCTCTCAAGGACTGTCCTTGGGAGAACAGCTCTGAGAGAACTTGTGACTGGCCCAAGGTCACACCAGCAGCTGCATGTGGAGGAGTGGGGTCTCAAACCTGGCTCTCCCAGATTAGAGTCTGCGCTCCTAACCACTACACCAAACCGGCACGGGAACTGCATTTAGTTTAGTTTATTTCTTTGTCTATCCCTCACCTTTCTCCCCAATAAGAGCCCAAAGCAGCTTACGTTGTTCTGCTCTCCTCCCTTTTATCCTCACAACAACCCTGTAGGGTAGGGTAGGCTGAGGGTGTCTGGCTGGCCCACGGCCACCCAGTGAGTTTTCATGGTAGAGGGGGAATTCGAATGTGGGTCTCCCAGCTCCTCGTCCTGCCCTTTAACCACTACACCACGCTGTATCAGGGAGAAAGATGGCAGCTCCCGGTTCTGTACCTCAGGTTTCTCCCTCAGCTTGGGAGAGAAAATCAGTATTCAGCTTTAACCATTTTTGCCTCCAGTCTTCCTCCAGTGCCTTAAAGTAAGCTTTGAGAGGCTGTGGCAGGGTTCCCTGTAAGCTGAGTGAGTGTGAGCGAGCTCACAGTTTTTTAGCCTCCGGCTCACACATTTTCGTCTCAGCTCAGGAAGGGTGGCTCCAGAGCAAAGTAATTTACGCAGTAGCCAAATCGCTCACTCACAACTCTAATGCCAGGAGCTCACAAAAGTAGAACGTATGCTCAAAAGCTTAGAGGGAGCGTTGACCGTGTGCCGTTCGTTTCCACCCTCTGTCCTATCCAAATCTTGGTGATGAAAACCTTCTCCAATAAGGTTGCCAACTCCGGGTTAGAAAATTCCTGGAGATTTGGGGGTGGAGCCTGTGGAGGGCGGGGTTATAATGTCACAAGAGCCTGCCTTCCAAAGTAGCCTCCTCCTCCAGAGGAACTGATCTTGGTTGCCTGGAAATCAGTTGTGATTCCGAGAAGTCTGTAGGCTCTCTCTTAGGGCCAAATGGCACATTACCCTCTTCACAGGGTTCTGTGCAGGGGGCAGGGTTGCCAACTACCTGGAGAGAGAAAAGGCCCAGCCCCTTTAATAGACACTTAATAGGATATGATTTACCAGATGATATTATTGACCAGGTGATATTATTTGGTGTGTTGGTTAAGTGCACAGACTCTAATCCGGGACAACCGGGTTTGACTCCCCACTCCTCCACTTGCAGCTGCTGGTGTGACCTTGGGTCAGTCACAAGCTCTCTGGTGTCCTCTCATAACATATTTCACAGAAAACGATGTATTACCAGCACATACTGGCTATGCAGAGTGGCTACATCTGTGAGAATTTTTTTATGGTCTGAGCACGCTCATAAAATACTATTGAGGTCCTTCTAAATTATATCTGGAATTATTATACGTTACAGTTATAGCAATCTTAGAATAATTGGAAAATCACAAGAAAGTGACAAGGATATGGTCATAGTTAGATCCTGCTGACAAGTTAATAGACGGGATGGTGATATATGTATCTGCACTTACAGTTTGTAATAATGTTTATGCGGTAATCTTGAGATATAATGGGTTTAGTTATGTATACTTGACATATCTTTTAATAAAATTAATTAAAAAAACAACAAAACAAAAAACAAATTCTCTCAGCGTTGTTCTCTCAGGAGCAGTTTCTCTCAGAGCTCTCTCACCCCCACTGACCTCGCAGGGTGTCTGTTGTGGGGAGGGGAAGGGAAAGGAGTTTGTCAGCCGCTCTGAGACTCCTTTGGGTAGGGAAGGGCAGGGTATAAATCCAATCTCTTCTTCTTCTTCTTTTACCTCACAGGGTGTCTGTGGTGGGGAGGGGAAGGGAAAGGAGTTTGTAGGCCGCTCTGAGACTCCTTTGGGTAGTGAAGGGCGGGGTATAAATCCAATCTCTTCTTCTTCTTCTTTTACCTCACAGGGGGTGTCTGTGGTGGGGAGGGGGAGGGAAAGGAGATTGTGGGCCGCTCTGAGACTCCTTTGGGGAGTGAAGGGCGGGGTATAAATCCAATCTCTTCTTCTTCTTTTTCTTCTTCTCCATGAAAAGCGTCAGCTGCCCCCGTTTCCACACATTCAGCCTCTATTACAGATACAGGACATAGTATATTAGCGCATTTTTGAACTGTCAATATTATCAGATTAATTATTTTTGTGTAATGCTCTTCTTGCCTTTGTTCAATTCTTGGTAACTGTAAATCCATAGGTTTACCTATAAAGTGTACAATATATGTTTGCTGTATGCTTGCTAAGGTAAAATAAAGAATTTAAGTTAAAAAAAGGGGGCACAGGGGGACATTTTTCCTCCAGGCCTGTTGGCAACTCTAGCCGGGGATTCAGTTCCCACATGTCCAGGGGCTTGATTTGTATTGGGACCGCAGTGCACCCCTACAGAAAGAGCTTAAGCTAGGTAATTCTTGCGCATTGTTGCCCCTGGATGGATGGTAATGGAAATACAAGCTTAGGTAGAACAATTGTGAAAAGGCGTGTATTAATACAAAGTAGAAAGTCTCAAACAACTCACAGTGGTTTACTAGTGTGGGGTGGAAGTCAGTGTCAAGCTAGGATATGGGAGAACCAGGTTCGAATCCCAACTCTGTCATGGAAGCCGGCTGGATGACCTTTGGCCAGTCACAAACGTTCCAGGCAGGGTTCCCTCTAAGCTGAGTTGATGTGAGCTAGCTCACAGTTTTTTCAGCCTCCGGCTCACCCATTTTCCTCTTAGCTCAGGAAGGAGGGCTCCAGAGCAAACTGATCTACGCAGCGGCCCAATCACTCGCTCACAACTTGAATGCCGGATGCTCACAAAGTAGAATTCTTGCTCACAAGACTCCACAGCTTAGAGGGAGCACTGGTTCCAAGCTCCACCTAACCTGCCTCACAGGGTTGTTGTGAGGATAAAATCGAGGAGAGGAGAAGATGGCAAGCTACTTCGGGTCCCCGTTGGGGAGAAAGGCAAGGTATGGAGGAAGTAAATACATGGGCACAGGAAGCGGCTTTCTATGGAATCAGACCATCAGTTGGTCAAGGTCAGTCTTGTCTACTCAGACTGGCAGCTGCTGTCCAGGGACTCAGGCGGAGGTCTTTAGCCCTTTTAACCTGGAGATGCTGGGGAATGAACCTGGAACTTATGGCATGCCACTGCCAGAGGCTCTACCCCTGAGCCACGGCCCCTCCGGTATTCCAGTATGCACTTTCTTGAGTGAAGGTTTGGGGCAGCCATTTTCTCCAGGAGAGCCAATCCCTGTCATCTGGAGATCAGGTGTAACCCCTGGAGATCTCCAGTCCCCTCCTGGAGGCTGGCAACCCGACCCAGGGCTATTGCAGAATAAATAAAATTACAGGTAGGGTTGCAAGATCCGGGTTGGGAAATCCCTGGAGATTTGGGGGAGGCGCCTGGGGAGAACAGGGGCCTCACTAGAGGAAAATGCCAAGGAGACCCCCCTCCAAATTTATTTATTTATTTATTTAATTCAATTTATATCCCGCCCTCCCCGCAATGCGGGCTCAGGGCAGCTTACAAAGAGGCATGCGCCAATATAAAAACATATTTTTATATGTTTTTCCCGGGGAACTGATCTCTGCAGTCTGGAGATGAGCTGGGATTCCGGGGGCATCCCCTGGCCCCACCTGGAGGTTGGCATCCCTTATTACAGGCAACCAGAGAGGCGCCTCCCGCAAGGTCTGATCGTGCAGCGGTGCAGGCTCACAAGAGCGGCCTCATTCTTATCTGTAAAATGCTGAAGAATTTATAATGTTAAATGACCAGGAAGCGATTGGGCAAACGTGCAGGGCCTGGGACTACATTTCCCAGCGTGCCCGGCGGCGCCGTCGTCCGAGCAAAAGAGGGCGTTGCCGTCCTTTCTCCCCTCCCTCCGACTGGCCCCTGGTCATGTGACCCGTGCGCTCCGAAACCCACGTGGGCCAGCGGCCAGGAGGTCCTTCCGGGTGTCAGGATGCTGCAAAGGCTGGTGGTGAGGGGCAAGTGCACGTGTGAATGGCTCGGGAGGAGGCGCGTGTTGAGGTTTGGAGGCGGGGCCGGGGAGGGCGACTTGCCGCCGGCAGGAGCCTTCCCTGGTTCCGAAAGACCCAACCCCAGGCTGTCCAGAGAGCACAAAGGGGTGTGTGGGGGGTTCTGCTGGATTAGATCCAGGGTGGGTGCCATCCAATACTCCCTCTAAGCTGTGAGCAAAAATTCTACTCTGTGAGCTTACTGGCATTAAAAGTTGTGAGCGAGCCATTTGGCTACTGCCTAAATTAGTTAATTTAGTTAATTAAGGAGCTGCGGTGGCTCAAGTGGTTAAGACGCTGAACTGCAGGCTGTGGAAGGTCAGTAGTTCAGCAGTTCGAGACCCGGGTTGCCGCATGACGGAGTGAGCTCCCGTCTCTAGTTCCAGCCCCTGCCAACCTAGCAGTTCAAAAGCAAGACATGGCAAGTAGATAAATAGGGACCGCTTCGGTGGGAAGGTCACAGCGTTCTGTGCGCCTTGGTGTCTAGTCATGCTGGCCACATGACCACGGAAACGTCTTCGGACAGCGCTGGCTCTTCGGCTTTGAAACGGAGATGAGCACCGCAACCCTAGAGTCGGACTCGACTGGCTTTCGAGCAAGGGAACCTTTACCTAAATTAGTTTACTCTGAAGCAATGTTCCCTCTAAGCTGAGTTACTGTGAGCTAGCTCATGGGTTTTTTTAGCCTGCGGCCCAGACATTTTTGCCTTAAGTCAGGGAGGAGGGCTCCAGAGCAAGCTAATTAATGCAGCAGCCAAATGGCTGGCTGACAACTTTAATGCCAGAAGCTCACAAAATAGAATTTTTGCTCGCAAGGCTCCACAGCTTAGAGGGAGCATTGCTCCGGAGCCCTCCTCCCAGAGCTAAGACAAAAAGTTGTGAGCTGGAGGCTAAAAAACTGAGCTAGCTCACACTAACTCAGCTCAGAGGGAACACTGGTCTGGACCCACCAAGCCCACCTCTGTTGGCCTCTCAGTAACTGATGTTTGCAGGGGGGTACACTGCCTCTGTATTTGGAGGTTCTATTTGTGGAGACCGTGGATTTGCCTTCTGCCGTTGCAACTTTGGCAGCGTAACTATGCATTCTGTGAAAGCGTTTGTCCCCGAATCCATTGCTCCATTACTCACCATTTTCTTTCGGTGACTCCAAATTAGAGTGTCACAAGAGGAGGATTATTACTCTCTGTTAGGGATCTCCCGGAATTCCAGTTCATCTCCAGACTGCAGAGATCAGTTCCCCTGGAGGAAATGTCTTCTTTGAAGGAGGGGGGACTCTGTCACATTGTGCCCCGCTGAGGTTCAGGGATGCCAGCCTCCAGGTGGGGCCTGGGGACCCCCCGGAATTCCAGCTCATCTCCAGACACAGGGATCGGTTCCCCTGGAGGAAACGTCTGCTTTGGAGGGGGGACCCTGTGGCATTGCGCCCCACTGAGCTCCCTGGCTCCACCCTGGAAATCTCCAGGTATTTCCCAACCTGGATCTGGCAACCTGTCACCCCCAACTCCTGCCATGAGCTAGGAGGGACCTGACAACCTTCCTCTCTGTCCACTTTCTCCCGTGCTGTTCATGGTTTTCCAAACCCCCCTTAGCGGGCCTTTCCCCCCTAAACTGAAAACCCCCCAAACCTTTAGCCTTTGCTTGTAGGGGAAACTGTAACAAATGCCGATCCCATCCCTGTGAAAGCCCCATTGCCTGTGTTCACAGACACACAGAGACACACTGATTTTCACTTCCTTCACCTGTCTATAGTTTCTTTTTTTTTGGGGGGGGGGAGTTCTGCATGTTTGATGGGTCAAGCTGGGGGGTTAGATTTGTGAAGGATGAAAAGTGGGGGGGGGCCACAGGAGGTGCCACAGGAGGTGGTGGCAGCTACAGGCATGGGGGAGGTGTGGCTAATTGCCCTGGCGCAGTTTGATCCGCGATTACACGA